ATTAATCGATTAATGTTTTTCTGACGATTAATCACACACGATACAATTATGCCCAACCCTATTTTGCAATTGCGGTGTTTCCATTAAGTAAGAAATGCTAGTAACTATTAGGGCTGTGTATTGGCAAGAATTTGGTGATACGATACATATCATAACAGAGGGGTCACGATACGATATATCCTGATATATTGCGATACTGTAAGCAAGGCAATATATTGCGATATATTGCGATTTTTTTTGTCCAAAAATTCTATTAAAAACTAAAAACTAAGAAAAGCTAATGTTTACTTACAATGCTAATGCTACCCTTACTCTCTGGCGCTCAAGAGGTAGAGGAGCCAAATGGCTGGCTCACTGCTGCCAACTAGTGGTCAAAGGCTGAACTACAACATAAAAATGAATGGCTGGCAAGAAGGTTGACATTTTAAABCTTAATTAAAAATCGATACAGGGCTTTAGAATATCGATACAATATCGGGAAATGAAATATCGCAATATTTCAGTGTATCGATATTTTCTTACACCCCTAATGTAATATATATATTAGAGATGTGACGTTCGCGAACGATTCGAATCTTTTGAACGGCTCTTTACAACAAACGGTAGGAGCCGAATCGCGGGCAGTAACGAGCCATTTGTAGTTTAAAACTTTTATTCCTCATGTAATCTTTATTTTTTTCATACTTAAATCGCTCCCGCTTGGCTTTTTCACGCAAAATAGGTGGCGTTGTGGAGTACAGAAGCTCACGGTAAAAGGGGAAGGGGGGGTTCCGCTTGGCAAACACATGGTTCCACCCACGTGACAGCATGACATCATTATGTACGGCTAAGTAATGACGTTATACGTTCAAAATCRAACGGCTCATTTGAACGGCTCTATGAAACAAACGGCTCCCCAAGATCCAGATCCCTTCAAAGAACCATTTATCCCATCTCTAATATATATGACTCAGTCAGTCACATATGCTGAGTGAGAGTGTWGTAAGATAAGGTGTGTGTTGTGTTTGGTGAAAATATGCACGGGAAAATAGCGGCAAAAAATTTATTTATTTTTTTGTATGTTTTTATTTGGCAATCCTGAGACAGGCTCGCTCATGCTTTGATCATGCAGCGGCTTCATGATCACAAGGTGCTGCTCACCTCCACAGTGGGAGTTACAGAACAGTTTCACTCTGAGAACACCTGACAAAGCACAATGCTGACATTGCCAAAAAAGCACGTTATCTCAAGAAGCAGAAAAAAATTCAACATACCTGGACTTCAAACTGTAAAATTTTTATCAAACTGAATGGAACACCAGAAGAAGNTATTATACATGAGATCATATACATGAGATCATATTATACATGAGATCATATTACACAGGAATAAATACAGTAATTCACTTCCTGTTGGACCTGTTGTTATTAGTAAAATTATGTACTAGTTATACTCTTCTTGTTGTGGAAGAGCAGCTCATAAAGTCCAGTGTATTTTTGTTTAATAGAACATTAGAGCCATCATCGGACACCCATGGAGGCCTCAAGTCTCCAATTTCCATTGGCAGTCCTCGCCGGCCTTCTGACAGCAACCTGGACTCCTTCAGCCGGCACTTTGAGAACATCATGGAGTCACACCGAGCCAAAGGTACCTCATACAGCAGCCTGGACAGTGTGGACCTGCTGACCTCTGGATCTACGTCTGTGTTCACGTTTGACCTGCCAACTCTGACCCCAGAGATCCAGGTAGGACAGACTGATGAGAGAACAACTGGACTGAATGTTCAGGAGTTGAGATGGATTCATTTCTGTGTTCAGAGTCAGATCTGTGAGAGCGCCAAGCAGATCATCGAGCTCAGTTTCGCCACGCTGGCCCATTCAGAACCGTTGGCCCACTCAGCAACGTCTCGTTCTGAAATCACCCTCAACACTCCTGGGTCCGGAGGCTTCAAGGACGACCCTAGCCCTTCGGTCCGGTCCAGGTTGGAGAAGGAGTCCTGGCATCACTCTATTCTGAAGGAGGGTTTCCGGAAGGCAACCTCAGTCCCGTCTCTCAGCAGCAACACCAGGTGAGTCCCATCTGAAGGTTCTGATCCAAACTGTGAGGCTTCTTAGAATCAAAGAGCTGTTGTTGGCCTCGGTCAGTCTGGACCAACCAGTGGACCTGAGCTGAATACCAACAGGCAGAGCTGACAGAGACCTTTTCACAGCTTTTAAACAGGGTTCAGGAGGCTTCAGCAGATGATGCTGGTAGGATTTTACACAAACAAAAACTTCAAATTGATCTCACTCTGATTTTACTGTTTGACCCAGTTAGTCTGTCTGATAATGTGAGGAGGTTCTGTGTAGGTCTGAAAAGTTTACTGATGTTAGACGTCTGTATGTCTCCTTTTTACTTCTGTCAGTTTGAACATCTGCCATCAAAAATAACTTTTCTTAGTTAGCATTTTAGTTTCACAATTTTTCTAAATGTTTCTCTCAGCAGCTCAGTCTGATAATAAAACCCTGTTAGAAAAGATTTCACACTCTACCACATGGTGGCAGCACACACACAGACTCACAAATTCATCAGATTGTGTTTGTTTTTCACTTCAGTCTTTACTGTTTTGTCAGAATCGCACATGTTGTTTAGGCTGGTGGTCTTTAGAGGATCAAAGGATTTGTTAGAAATTAATTTTAGGGTTCGTCTCAGGTTTAAACTGAGCTCAGTTTAGCCTACAGAATGGACTGTGAGGATTACACTGTCATTCTGTGGACTTCCTGTATAAATTATTATCACACTTTATAGATTTGGTTAAATTTCTTTGAATTAAAAGTTTAAAAAACTTTTAATAACTTCTCATCTAATCATCACTGATTAATAGTTTATTAACTTTAACACAACTCACCCACTATTTTTCCTGCCACACATCCATCTATTCCATCCCTTCATCCATCCCTTCATCCATCCCTTCCTCCATCCCTTCATCTAGAGCTGGGCGATATGGCCTAAAATCAGTATCACAATATATTGACCAGTTTACCTAGATAATGGTAAATACACAATAACTCTTACCACCACTACACACAAGTACACAGTATAGTCTTGTCATAACACTACACACTGTGTCCATGTTCTTAGTCAAAGTACACAGT